GTTGCCACATAGGAAAGGTGACGAAGCACTGTGGCAGGAAAGGTGCGCTGTGTCTTCAGGGGTCTGTGGTCAGAGGTGCCGCGCCTTAGCTGAAGTCACAGCCGGCTTTCTCTTTGGTTTTCGTCAGCCATTAGAGACCGCTTCAGTTTGCTTAATTCTTATTTTGGGTTCTCCTTTCTCTCTCGCTCTCTCTCGCTCTCTGTTCCTGTTCGTTGGCAGGAAGTCAGGTTCCTTTCCTCCCTCACTTGCATGTGATTTCATTGTAATGTTTTATTGCAAGAAGATGTTTATGCCTTGAAATCCCTGGAGAAAATTAAGAATCTCTGTTATACTGGACAATGTGTCTGCTAGTTAGAGTTTGAAGATTGGGTGACTTATACTTATATGCCTATATATGTATTGCCTGTCATATAGTATACCGTATATAATATTATATTCCATGTATACACTGTATGTACCTCAATCCTTGTTGATGTGTTTACAAGTACAGCTTTAAAAGTCACAGTAGTGAAGCTCCTAAAGCATCAGTTTTTTAAGGTGGCTGGGCAACAGTCGGTAAAGGGCTTCTCAGTTTGCAGTGCACAGTAGCCCCTGGAATTTTTGGGGGCACCAGCGAGTTTCTATTATCATTTTTAGAGGGGAACATTCTAGTTCTATAAGGTGCTTTGGAACTGAAAACGCATCAAACAAAAAATGAGCCTGTTATTCTTCCCTTGTGGTACAGGGCTTATACAGTAGCAGTAGGCCTGTTTGGTTTTGTAATTGGTAATTCCAAATCTTTTTACAAAACATACTTTCTTCTTGTTGAAAGACAAACTGTTAACCATATCGGCAAGTCCCTTTAAAGGAGTCTAAACTTGTCAGATACGGTTAATGATTTTATTTCAGTGACATTTTGAACGAGCCCAACCTGCATTATGCTTTTGTAGTAGAGATGTAATGTGACACGTTCATATAGAACAGTGTAATACTAAGTACTAGGAGTCTTCTCCTAGACTGGTCATAACCAATTGTTTATTTTTTCTCATTTTTGTAAGGGACTGAAGGATGTATTACAGTGTGTTGGCTATTTTCTTAAGAAGAACAATGAAATTATATGTATGTTTAAGTGAAAGATATGTACGTGTAAGGTTGTAGGGAGTGGGCTATATTCTGCTGTCCATCTTAGAGATTTTTTTGAAGCTGTGAAGTCACATAAGAAATTAAACAGACCCTGGATCTGTGATTGGTGTTACTAGTTACCATAATTGCCTTAAGGAGTCAGGACTTTGAAGGAGACTTAGATAGCATGCTTTCCATAGTAAATCTAATGCTGGTTTGGAGTGAAATTCACAGCTTGGTGAAAAAAGGAGACATTTTATTTTGAAAATGCCTGTTCCAAAAGGCGCTGGTATCTGACTTATTTAGTTGTGCAAAACCTTTTAAGAAAGAGGTTGGTGTATATCGAAAACGGAGATGTCATCTATTGGAGTACTACCAGGGAAAATAAGTTTATTAGACAATGAAACTTGTAACAATTTTTCCTGTTCTCAGTTTTGTAAAATTTTAAGATTAAGCTTTTGAATGTCTTCTCCGTGAGTAAAACATACTCCATAATACCTAGGCTGCCACATAGTTATGCTCATTAAAAGTTTTGAAGACTCATCAGCAAGAACAGACTTGTTTTGTTCGTCATTGTTTCTTCTGTCATCTGCTTCACGGGTTTTAAAGCCCAAGGGAATACAAGTAAAGACAGCAGGAGTGTGAAGGCAGTTTTTCTGGGTGGTTTCAGATTTGAGAGGATTAAAAAAAACCCAGTTACTGTATGTGTCATTTACTGTTTGTTGGGTAATAAAAGAGGAAGCCTCTAAAAAGTTGATCTACAGTAAATGTGCCCCTTCATTAAAGTTTACTTTTGAATTTTGTTAGATATAGAAATTGTCAAAGAAGATTGCACATCCTTTATATGGTCTTAAAAGAGAAATTAGTGTAGGGAGTTCTTTGGTTTAGTATAAATAGCTCTATAACATTATGTGCTTTAAACTTGAGACTTTCAGCAAGAGTGCAGTGATTGTAACATCTTGTATGAGGATTGGCTGAAATACATGTAAAGTAATGCAGCACCTGTTAAAAGTTGTGTGACAAACAGTAATCCCCCTGCCTTCTTATCATTCAGGTATGAAGCATGAAATCTGTGCTCAGGAGAAAGCATAGCAGACACAAGTTTTCCACCAGCTGTTATTGATCCTGCTGTTTGTCAGCTGGCTTGCAGAGAGTTGCACCAGATCAGATGTCTGAGCTACCTACTCTTTCCACTCTGACTGCTCCCAGGCTGGTCTAACCCCCAAGGTGCTGGGCAAGAGGGCACACAATGCTGACTATTTAAGAGACATAATGACATGAACATTTTTTTTCTCTTAGAAGTTGTAAAGGTATGAGCTCCCATTTTACTCCTGTACTGGTACAGGGTAATATTTTGCTCTTGGGTTTCAGGAGCTGTTTCATCTGAAAAGTTAATGTAATATAATGTTTTGTTTTGTTTTTTGACCAGGCAAACAAGTACAATCTGTTTAGTTCTTGTCCAGCATTAAATATTGTTTTAGCCCAGTGAGTGATGGGGGTAAATTAAAGAAAGATGACATTTTACTACAAAGTGTCAGTCTGAAGTGAAACTGAAGATGGATTTGGAATACTGACCTGGGGTTCTGGATAAAATGAAGCTGTAGCTAAATTGAGAACACTGTGTTGGGGATCAGGATAACGTGGAGCTGTAGATAAATTAAGAATACTGTGCTGCAGTGTTATGACTATGAAGTTTAATTGCAGCAGTTCGAAATAGCAGTAAGTGATGTTCCTTCAGAAACCAGATAGGATACAGAACATGTCTCTGTGTACCCTTCAGCTTTTGCCAACAAAGGTTAATAGCCGAAGGTTATAAACATGATGGAACAGGTCTGCCACCATACCTATTAAAAGCATTTCCTTCCTTGGGAGAATCCTGTTCTTCCTGGCACTATCCTTGCTATTCCTCATTTTTTCCTGTTTCTTACTAGTTCACAGTACACTTTCTACAATAACTGTTCGGATGACATCAGTTGTTTTTGTATCTCTCTACAGTTAATGTGTTAGAACTTTACCATTAAACATAACAGCTGGAGTCCAATACTTCCAATATTTTTCATGTCTATTATAGTTATTAGGCAGTTGTTATTCAGTCTGGTCATGTATTTGTGTTCAAAACCACTTGGTAGCAGTGCATATTTACAGAAAGTAATGTCAGGCAGCACTGTTTAGTTTTTTGGGCCTGTATACATTGCATACCGTGTCAAATCTTTATCAGAAACTTTGTGCTAAAGTGGTTAAGAGTAGTTTATGTGGAAGTTCAGTTTTTAAGAATGTTTTAGTTTCAAATCACATTACACAGTACACATTTAAATATTTAGAGATGTAAGAGATGGGCATAAGCATTCATGTGCTGCAGATTTTGCTTCTGAAGAAAAACTTTAAGCTTCATGCAAGCATGCCCCACCTTTCTTACACAAACCACACTGAGCAAAGATTGTGCATCCAGTTTGGTGCTGTGTGAACATAATGATTATAGCATATTCAGGATACACATTTAAGACAAATGATGATGCTTAGATTTTCTGGTTAAAGAAATAATCGGAATGATTTGTGCTCCCGAGTGTTGTACAGGGCTCATTTTAGGTTCAGAATGGATTATTCTGTTAATTGTATTATGATGCTGGTTTGCATTAAAAAAAAACAGAGGGTTGTGATTTTTTATTTTATGTAGAATATTTGGAGTCTAAAATCTCAGGCCGAAATGGACTGTTAAAATGTGTTGTTCTTAATTATATCTGAAATCCTGTTTAACTTGCCTTTACTTTTCCTCATGATGTCATACATGTCGACCTGCAATATTGGAATTGAATATGCAGATAATTGCCATTTGACAGCATTGGTTTTTGAATTAAGTTTGTTTAAATTTTGAGCCTTTTGCTTTTTATACTGTAAATAAAATATCAACATTTAATGCATCTGCAGAATAAACAGACATGCTCACAGTCACACAATCCCTTGCTTACAGTATCAAATTTACATGTAAGTGATCTCGTTTTCTCTTTTTGTATCCTTTGAAAAGAAAGTACACTTCTACACGAGTCCTGTTCAGTGCCATGACTTAACAGCTGTAACATGTTTCATGCTATAAATAGAAGGTTACTGGTTTTAGTTAATGCCTCAGCTATATTTATTCACTTTCATGATTCCTGCTGTGAACAAGAAAGCATTGTCGTCACAATAGGATTTCTGCAAGCACTTAATTCATTCCTGGAGTACTAATCTCAATCGCAGTGTTTACTAGAGATCCTTTGGAAGTCATCAATCACTGGTATATAATCTGGATTTGGCAATATACTGTAATGGCACAGGAAAAGCTTGCGTCTTTGCTAACAATAAACTAGAGCCATGCACCATACAGGAAATATTTTTAAGGGCTGTGTATGTATGCCATTAATTTATTAAACATTGTAACTTTGAATGATAGTATATGTCACCGTTAACTATGAAATTCTTAATTAGACTTTCTTAATTCAGTAACTTAAAGTTTTAATATATCTAGTGTTTAAAATGCCATTAGATAGGTTGGGCACTCAGTGGTCACAAGTGATAAGGCTTCAATCTTTATAAAAGAACCTGTAAGAGCAACATTAAGTTTTCTGTTCTGAGAAACTACCCTACTTGATTTTGTATTTTTACATTTATTTTTCTAGCTGGTTTCCACACTCTCCAGAAATGGAAAACTTGAAAGAAAGCAAGTGCTTTATGGAAATTCTTATTCCTGTTGAAAGGCTTTCTTTTGGAAGGTAAAGGTTTACAGCTTTACAGGTGAATCCAATCTTGAGCATGAATTGGAGTTCCCCAGGGCAGGCGAATGAAGTCCAGGACTGTGCAGTGCTTATTTTTCTTTTGTCAACAGACTGCACACTCATCGGTGATGGCCTTTTTGTTTCCCTCAGAGCTCTGCCGCATTGACGAGGCCCTGTGCCAGGATGAGAATACCAACCTGAGCTTTGAAGCGATCCGCAGCATCCACAAGCAGATGGACGATGATGCCAATGGAAACGTAGACGTGGCAGAGACCGACGGGGTCAGTGCAGTGTTGGGCAGACGGGATGAGTCAGACAGTAAATTCTGGCGTTCTCGCTTATAGGAAAACTCTTTGAAACTCTTTGTCAATAATAATTATCACACATAGGTGAAATTGACTGTTGCACGCGTTAAACTGTTAGCTTGGAGTGCAGTCGGACGTTTTTCAGGTTTGTGTATTTGTTCTGTCAGTAGCGAATTAATATGCAGTTGAGGTTTCTTGGAAGGTTTCTGCCTGTTTCTCACTGCTCTTGCACACTCTCTTGCACACAAATAATTGTGTGCAAGAGAGCTAACTAATGCAGCAACATGAGTGACTCGGTAATAGTAAGTAAGATGACTACTTTAGATGAGCTTACCTTTAAAAGCAAAGAAGGGGTTCCTTTGCAGTTCAATTTTAACCAAACTAGCTACACTGTGGTTTTAGTATTCTCTGCAGGTGCAAGCCTGAGGTCTGCACTTGTGTACTTCCATGGCCATCTTGAATTGTACTAGACCTGGCTCTCCCATCAGTCACTTGCTGTATTCAAGAGCACAGCCATTCCAAAGCTAGCTACAGTCTTACACTGTTTAAGTAATAGGTGACAATTCACCCTACATTTGACATACAGAACCAAGTTTAAAACACATCTGGGTGTTACCCCGCCATCCTGGCCAAATTTCAACCTGGCCTTTACCAATCATGGCCTCCAAATAATCCCCATCTTTGAATTGTTTTCATCAATCTGTTCGCCTCCCCATGGATAGCTGTGTGGTGAGCATATTGGTGCACTATGGCTGTCATTGCCTCATCCAAGTGGGGCTGCACACTGGTGGTGGTGGAGGGGAGTCCCCAGTAGCTCTTTGAGTGGAGTGTCCAGAAAAGCCCTAAAAAAGTGTATGGGATTATTTTGTATTATTATTATTATTATTATTATTATTATTATTATTATTATAAAACTCAGAATACTTCACCTTAAGACTGTACTGAAAGGCCTTGTCGATCCAGTATGCTAAGATGTGTTTTCAGGCCTCCACAGAAAACCTTTCAACACTAATAATCACCTTCTAGATTTTGTATTTGTAGCACTGCTGCTTAGTTTAAAAATGTTTCACAAGTGACTTCAGTCTTTCACACTGTGCCATTTGAGACTGAGGCCTGCATATTCCAAGGATAGCTGATTCCTAACCCACTTAGCAAGTGAGTCAGCAACTTTCAGAGTAACCTGTTGTGAAATTTAACTTTGAGCTCCTCTTAGTTCAATATAATAGAATAACCATCCACCTTCTGAATAAACAAGCTTCATGTTACATTTTAGGACTGCGCATGAATACTTTTCATCACTCACCATCTATCTTGAGTCCTGTCATTCTTTTGCAAGCCCAGAAGTGCTGTGTGAACCTTTAATTTGAGAGTGCAGCAATTCACAGAATATGACAAAAATGATTTGCCTGTTTCATGACCTCCATAGCTTCTCTTCATCTATATTCATGGTTTGCGCTCACATGCCTTACAGCTGAATACCAAGAAGCATGGACTTGCATAAAATTAATGCAACCCTGGCCCATCAACTGTACTGTACTGCTGAATTTTGCAGTGCTGACAAGTTTTAATATTGTGCCACATTTTTGGAACCGGTGAACCTGTGCTAATGTATTATGCCTGCATGTGTTTATGAGGCTGCTCTCCTGCTCCTTTCCATTTCCTGCAGCGTGACATACTGTAATCCTGTTCTTTTTCCTACATGCACTCCTCGTCTCGGAGGGCCTGATTTTGTTTTATCCATAGATTTGCTTCATGCCCTCTCTCATGCTGCACAACAGATCTGTGTTTTGGTGGTAAGGGGCATTGCCTAACATAAGCAGTTAACCAAAGGGTGTGCTTTTCACTACTTTGTGCTCTTGATTTGGTATAGAATTTTGTTTTGTGAAGTTTTATTCAAGATCGATCTACTTGTTGTCATTTGACCCATTTTAGTGCAAGAACACAGTGATTAATTTGAAAAGGGTTGGGAAGGGTTTAAAAAGATCAAATTATTTGTCTAACTGATTCATTTATATATCTTACAATAACAAAATTGAAAGTATTGCTTCTGTAGTCCAGCATGTTATAGAACATTTAGCCCTAGGAGTCTTTACAACTTTCTAAGCATTAGAGTATTTTTAAAGTCAAATTATGTCTCTTACTCTTGTTAATTCTTGTAAAATTGTAGTAGATTTCTAAGCATATAGTTACAGTTTGTTATTCAGTGGATTTTTGTAAAACTGGTATTCCAAACAGTTATTATGGTGTTGGAAGTTTAGTAATTAAATGGATGTTTTTTTTTTCACAATTTGAAATTGAAAACTAGCCAAATACTCATGCGTCAAGTCATTCTTACTCCGTTTTGCATTGAAAATGGGGTGATTGAGCAACAGCCTACGGTGTACTGTATTTGTCAGTATTATTGCGGTCCTGACCTGCCCATACGCACACAAGTGGGTAAGTGTGTGTGTGGAGGAGTCTGTTGAAACTTAGCCAGGTCTTTATGCTATGAGAACATGGCTGGGCAGAGCTTTCTGCTCACAGACTGCACTTCACGAGCCAGGGCTTTGACTGCTGTCTGTTTAGCTCATCTAGCCTTAGGAAGGATTCATGGTAGAAATTAGCCACATACGAATTATGTCACAACCTTGGGAAGCTACACATTTTTCTTTTTTTTTTTTAGCAGCTGGTTGTATATAATGTGATTAGGTGCATTAAAGATCTGTTTTACCTAAATTATCATAATCAAACGGCCAAATGAGAGAACTTTTTTTGAAACCAACAACTATTTACTAAATAGTCATAATTTTCACACTGCCCTTTACCAGTAATAAAGGACAGAGTTTCTCAGCCTTTTTGATGCCAGGAAATGATTGGCTTCTTCCTGTTGTGGACTCTTAGGCTTATTAAGGTCCACACCATTTTGGCCAGTTTCATATTGTAAACAATTGTGTATGCACAAACTGAGCTATGTTACACATGACATTAAAGTGCACACAGTACAGTTCCATATAAAAAACTACCCAACAACAACCGAAAGTATAGAGATACTGTAAACAAACTTGAAGTGGTCTATGAAAGTATGTAAAAAATATGTTAACATTTGGATTCACTACGTATGGGAGATGGTAAGAGGTGATGGAAAGTAAAAAGGCTTGTAGTCTGCAAAACATTGTCATTTCTAGCTTTCAACTTTACAATTAGTTGATGCTCACAGTATCTGAGGCAACACAAAGTATCTTATTAAACTGAAGTTAAAGACCATGATCATGCCATATAAGAACACGACCCCTTTCTTGCCAGGCTAATATAAAATAAAAAGGATAAGTATGACTCTGGTCCCTGAAGAGGCTTATCACTATACAATGATGGTCTAAGAAGGATTAAAACATGCTTGAACCAGTTTTGGTTTATTGTTTGTGGAAACATGCACTAGACTCTGCTGTACGGTTGACTGCCCTTGTTAAGACTAAATCAACATTGCAGAGCAAGAACTAGCCTTTTGTGCAGAGCTTTTGGTTTCTTCACAAATGTGATTGAAGTTGTCAATGATTCACTGACTAATGGATGTCCCTCTGCTCCACAGTTCCTGAGAGAAGATCTGAACTATCACGATCCTAAGGCCAAGCACAACAGCTTCCACCGAGAGGACCAGTTTATCAGCGTTGAGGATCTCTGGAACTCCTGGAAGGCTTCAGAAGGTAAGGATATATAAGTGGTTCATTCTTTTTCATGTGCGGTCACTTCATAAAGATAAGTTTCCAGATTCATTTCCCCCTCTAGATAAAGAGTAGATATCCACTTAGGGCTAAAACCAGAGCAGGTGCTTCCTGCAGCCTGTTAGTTTTTAACAGGAATGAGTGTCAAAGAGCAGACAGATTTAGGATGGGACCGCCTGTTTTCATTCTTTTCGGTAATTCCCAGAGCTCATCTCCACCCGACCCGCTAATGGCACTTAACTGGAAGTAACAGGGAGCTGGATTTTGTTAGTGTGAAAGGCAGCACAGTCCATACACTTGTGGAGTTTTGTTACAGCAGACACTTAGCTTTATTTCCAACTGTAAGTGGTATAAGTGGTATTCCATGGCATCGATTCTTTTATTATTTTAAGTCTTGGAATGGAAAAGGACTTAGTTATGACAAGTAGATCAGGTTACACTTTTTTGTAAGCCACTTTTCCCATTCCATTCTGAGCTCATACGAGGTCTACTTTTGAAGCTCACGTGATGGTACTGGCGGGAACTGTGAGCGCCATCCCCGTTTGGCCTTCCTGGAGAACTGTTCTGGCGATTCACCGATCACAGCTGTCTGCCATTTGATACATTCATGATGCCAGTGATGTACTTTATTGCATTATGTTCTGTTTCCCATAACTTACTCTTCTGTTGTGCTCAGTACCTCTGTACCATTAGGGTTTGAGTGTACGGGCAGGGTTGCTGTGGGTTCTGCTCACAAGCAGATAGAGCTGTACAATTTAAAGGAGTCAATGCAAAGTCTGTTTTTAAACATCTGTAGCATTTGCTCTCATCACTGTATTGACTGCATGGCCTGTGATGTGAACGACAACACTACTTGCGCCAACTATTGGGGATTTTTTTGCACACCTCACTTCTCCAGGGCACCACTTGAGTGTGACATCCTGTACTCCAATTCCATGTATCTCAGCAGGCAACTGTTTTAGGGTTTTGGCTGGCTTTCCCACACCAGCGCCTGATTTGTTTGTCTCCAGGGTGGATTGTTAAGTCTTAAGAGTCGGATCTGCAAAGCAAATTAATACCCAGTCCTTAATGGTGACCCTATTACCATATTACAGATGAGTAAGAAGGACGCCACAGGATGTTTAGGTGCACCATGCTGATTTGGATCATGTTTGCCGAGCAACGTTTGCATTTCATCATCATCATCTACTGAAATATCTTTTCCTGGGGGAAAAAAGCACTAGATTGAGTTCCTGCTCCATTGTGACTCAGAGCAGAGCAGTGCATCTGTGATGGGAGAGCTGTGTCCTGGGAGCTGCCTCTGTGCCCCACCAGTCTGGCCCTGCTGCTCACTGCAGTGCAGCTCTCCTCTGGGCTGGGCTGAGGCTTCACCGCAGGGAAATGACACTTCACCACAACCAGGCAGTGTGCCCAAGTGACCCAATATTACATTAAAATCGGACTACATAGCTCTTTCAGATCAACCCAGCCTATTTCATTCCACTGAGTGTGGTGTAGATCTAGAATCATGTTGAATGAATTCATGCTGTAAGAATGTTTCACTCTTAAAAGAGACGGTACAGTATTAATTTTGATTGATATTGTTTTCTATCTGAAAACATGGGAAAATGTTCCAGATTTTTTTAAAACGCTACATTATTGTTTGTTTTGTTATTTCAAACACTAAAACCTACATCTCAGTGCCGCATTGTTCTATAGCCCTTTAAACTGTTGTTCCTTTGCTCTCCTGAGATTTCTGGTGATCTAGTGAGTGAAAACTGTTATGTACACATGCACAAGAGCTGCAGGGCTCAGTGTTTGCATGGCCCCTTGTGTTTTGCAGTGTATAACTGGACTGTGGACGAGGTGGTGGAGTGGCTCATCACCTATGTGGAGTTGCCGCAGTATGAGGAGGCCTTCAGAAAGCTTTTGCTCAATGGCAGTGCCATGCCCCGGTGAGTTGCTGTCAGTTGTCCTAGTTATGTTCTTCACAAAATGCTTGAATGCGCGCATCTTAGTGCTTTCACGTAGATTTTGCATTGATTTCGTTATTGATGCCGTGCGCTAAATATTTGTTTGTCTTCAAGACTTCGTATACTAGTATAGTAGACTTGGTCAGATGAAAGGAAACGCATGCTGGAATTCCAGCCTCAGATTAAACTCCCATACTTTGACACATAAAACATGATATATCTAAGTTTTCTGTGCTTAACATGTTGTGTACTGGCACGATCTGAAATGCAACGATTTCAATTGCAAACTTTGCACAGTCAAAGGTCTGTGTCTTACTCGTACAGCCATGTAAACCTATTTATACGCTTCTCAGGCTGGCTATGAAGAACGCTACTCTGACAGGCTCCGTGCTGAAGATCCAGGATCGCAGTCATGTGCAGAAGCTCCAGCTGAAGGCCCTGGACACTGTGCTGTTTGGAGCACCGATGAGTGAGTGTGCTTCTGGGTAGCGCTGGGGGTGGAATGGAGATTTGTGCTGGGAACAGTCTTTATTTGCATTTCCTGAACCCCCAGGTTAACGGAGTTCTCAGCTTTACTCTGCAGAATTCACAGGGGAATTCACAATTCAGCCAGTAATACAAAAAAGTTTTAAAGCTTAACTTCAGTGTGGATTTCTGTTAATTACAACACCATAAACATTGGAGCTCTGGAATATTTTTAATGTATGCTATTGGTGTAATACCACAATCAGACTTTTGATTTCATTTTAATGGAACAATTTAACTGTTATATTCTAAATACCCTAACAAGGGCACTCCACCTCTGTTTTCTTGCCAAATAAGATTCCTTAGAATGGTCACGGTCTCATTGGGTTGAGCTTAAAGGAAGAGTAAATCAAGTAACTTCATAAAAGCCCTATAAAGTGGGCACCAGATACCATAAAATTGAGTCCTGCTGCCTAATAAGCTTAAGGCTGAAGTTAAAGTAGCTTTGATTTATTTTTTCCTCATTGGCTAAGAAATACAGATTAAAGTCCAATTTGTATGTTAACCTTTATTACACCATGAAATTAAACATAACGTCATTTAATATCCCCAAACCATAACAGCATAAATTTGTTGTTAAAACATTTTTATTGCATATATACATTTTTAAGATAAAGCTGGTCAGAGTTATTGAAAGTTAAATGTTTTGAATATGTCGATTTATGGCTCATAATTTAAGATGTATTATTTAACATTTTTTGAATGTCAACGAGGATATAAAATAACTGCCTTAAAATCAGGCAATATTAAATCTGTTAAAACAGAAGACGCACTGTGAACACTATTTCCTTTTACGTTCAACATGATCTCCTTCAGAACAGAAAATAAACTGTTCATTGTTCCTTAAACTTGTGCCCCCTGGTTGTGAAGAACCCACTGGGACCAAAATTAAAAGAACCGTTTAAAGCAAAGCTGACTTGGAGCAGTTTTATTTGTCTCAACTAATGAAGAAAGCTTGTGTTCCTGTAGATGACTGTCTGTTTGCTAAGTATTGAGAATCTGTGTTTGGGGGTTGGGGGGTAAAAAAGTTGGAGGGACATCTTGCTCTAACAGAACTGTTTGTGATTTGATCAAAATGTGGTTTGGCATGATTTTACTAAATGTAAAATATAGAATGTATTTTTCTGTTTTTCTGTGTGATGCACTCAATTGACTGTGAAATGTTTTTAGGCTTCATAAGATTTTGATCCTTTTTCTTTCCAGAATGTAGTTATTCTCTGCAGGAAATCTCATTTCCCCAGTTATGGTTTTAGTTTCCCATTGAGGACATTGACATCTGTGTTCAGAAGTGTTTTATGCTGGTCTCTTCCTACAGTGAAATCTTTATCCATAAAACTCCATAAAAGCCACACTTACAGTAAATGTATTACCAAGCAGTGAGGCATTTTTAAGTTCACAAATGCAGGTAAAGACCTCAAGCCCAGTTTCTTCTCTTTTATCAAAGAGGAGTCAACACAAGTCAACTATTTTATTTGACCTGCTGACTTCGTAGTCTTACCTGAAACACTTACTTGAATATTAGGTGAAACACTAAAGATCAGTTGAGGAGCACTGTGACTTTATTTTAATGCGCTTGAAAGAAAACATCTAGCAACAGCTTTGGTGCATCTGCTATCATTATACTTAGTGTACTGTATGCCATACAGATGTGCACAGTGATCATAATTTGAAACTAAAAGGGTATTATATTAGGATCACTAATAGGAAATGTTTCTGTAGAGAAAAGAACCAGCCAGCCCGGTTATGGAGGTCTAAACTCTGGGTTCTATAAAGAAATGGCTGGACACAATTTGAGATTCACTTAGCTACTAAACACCCAAAAGTATAAGATGGGCCAAATGGCCTCATTTTCCACCATGTGTTGTCATGTTCATTCAAGATAACAGCTGATTTCCCAGCTGTGATGCTAAGATTTAAGAAATTACTCTCATCGCCACCTACATAGTCTGAAATACACATAAAAGGCATTAATTTCCAGAAAGTGCGTTTTCAGTTTTTTATTGCTTTGCCCTTTCTTAGTTAAAAGTACCTGATGGGCTTGCTATCTCATTTGGGATTTTACAGCAGAATCTAAAAAAGTATGTCTCATTAACATCAGTTATTTGCCCAGTTTAATGGGAAAGCACAGCTAATTTAAACCATTAAGAACAAGGATTATCTCGGATGCCACTTAATATGTCCCCATTGCCAAACTTTGCGGAAATGTGGTCCAGTCACAGTTAGCATGATTGCTTCTTTAGCATTACAGCCCAGCAGAGAAGATACTACAAAGACATTCTATATGGTAGTGTATTTTCTTGTATATTGAGAATTTGCAGTTCTTTAGGACGTATTTAAAGGGTCTTTAAAAAATATTGAAGGTCTTTAGAGATGCGTTGCTTAACCCTATCATTCAGCTGTAGTGCCATAGCTTATTTCATACTTAAGCATACTTATCTCAACAGTCAGAGAACTTTGCCCTAAGAACTGAATAGTCCAGTGTTTCAGTGGGACTTCATGAACTACATAAGTACCCATTGGCACCACATCTGTTAAGTATAATAACAGCCACGCCCTATAGTGAACCATTATACAAATTGACTGACAATGTTGTATATTTTGAGTGCCCTTCTATAAATCCAGTACCTTGCAAATTAAGTATTTTCAGATGTGGAACCAATGATATTATGCCTGCAACTCCATACCATCTGTCAAATCACAGCTTTACCCTTTTGCACTATAGGTTCATTTAAATTAATTTAACTGTGTTTGAAATTTTGTTCACAAAATGCCTGCGACATTGAGTTACAGGCTTGTTATATGCCTTTTGCTCACCTTCTGTTGTATCTTTGAAATTGCAAATCACTGTATTTCTGCATTTTCAGGATGTTTCATGTTTTAAACCTCTTGGCATTATGTAGGCGGGTATTTTTAGTTTCAAATCCTGCACAGGAAAGTTACTCAGGACTTAAATACACACATTTGATTTATGTAGTATATTTTAACTTACAATCCCACTTATCTTCTGTCTATTCCACTCTGTACGTAGTTTCCCAGTGTTGACCAGGCAACTCTTGACATTACTGCATTCCAGGATTTTTCCTGGCTTAAGATGCAAGTACACATGAACTTATGGTCAAGAAATTCTTTATTAACTATCAAAGAATTATAAGCAAAAAGCTCTTTTTAGCTTGATACTAAGTCCTTTATTTCTCAGTGGTGACTGTCTTGATTTGCAGTGTCTGAAGGAAACTAGAAACACCCTGTTAATAAATTAAGTCTCCTGTCTTCTACAGCAGGGGTCACAAACAGGCTGTCCAAGGGCTTCCAGAAGCTAGTTTGTGAAGACCCAACACAGGTGTTATCTGTTGTAGGAGTTTTGCCTTTAAAATAGACTTCCATGTCATTCAGTGATTAAAAACAAGAGGCTGTTGCATTTTGTTTAAAAGATAAAATGCTCTTACATTTAGCTTTTCTTCTAGCAATGGTGGTAATGAGTTATGGGACAATCTTAATTATTTGAGAATATTTTAAATGAAAAATGAGATTTCAGTTGCAGTATGGGAGTATCCTTAACCAAACATTTATTGTATGTAGGCTTGATGTTTTTCATTGGAAAGCATTATGTTGTATGGATAAGGGGTGTGGCTTATTTAATTTAGTGACCTGCTTTTTTCACAACTGGGTTATCGCGTGTCTTTTTAGTGATTGTATAGCGTATTTGTTTAAATTATCTGCCATGGTAACTATTCCAACAAAACTTTCAGTTCTGACGAAAGTTGATTGCCATGACATGTGGTGGGGAGTACTATTACAGTACATTTTTTTTAAGCTTGCCAGTGAAGTTTTCTAATGATGGAGTTCTGTTCTGTGTACTGAAGCTAGAAACTTAAACCCATTTTAATTTTTTTTTTCCTCTCAGAAATGATCCAGGCTTAACAATCAGTCGGAAAAAACTCAAAACCAGCAGCTCTGCGTGCTAGAAGCTAGGAAGGGAAACCGAAGTGAAAAAATACTCCTTTTAACAAAATTAAAAGGGCAGAAATGCTTGGATACTCATAGAGTGGTAAAAACAAAAGTTCAGGTGTTAAAATTACTGCATTACTGTGGAAAGTGCAGTGTTTTTACCTGTGGGGAAAGATGGTCAGTGAAATGAAGAGCAAGCTCTGGATCTCTCTCTCCACAGGAAGCTATCTTCCTAGGCGAAACAGCCTTAGAAGACTAGCGCTTGGCTGGGCTCCAGAGCTATGCAGGGTTGATCTGAGGGAGTGTGTTGCTATTAGAAACACAGAGGAAGGTGAAATGATAGAGGTGGGAGCTGAGTCTGGTCCTGGCATGTTGCTTTGTGTGTCTGTGGAGTTAAGAGTCCCAGCTGTCAAATGTGCCCACTTCTAGGATATCTAAGACTGAGATCTGTCTGGCCTTTGGAAGCAGAGGAGTAGGTGCACAGGCTGGTTATGACAGCTGTGGAGAGAAAGCAAATGGGTCTTACTAAAGGAGACAGGAGTGAATTGTTCAGGAACATTGTTTCAGGACATCCAGTACAATGCTCAATTGTGAATGTACAGTACTTTATATTATGCCTTTCTTAGATGATGTTTCTGTACCACCTTTGAAAACAAAAATAGGTGATTCTGATTTGTTAGCTATCATATACAATGTTTTGTTATAGTATGATGACAAAGGATTACGACCACAAATGAAAGATAGCCGTTTGGTTTCAAGTTTACTAGCAGACTGCATAGATATCCTGGAATCTCATCAGTGCCTATATTTCAATATAATCTATAATCTCATAATTATTATATTAAAGTTAAACAAAAAGAGACTATCCACTCCATTTTTGTGTTTAGAAAGCTGGACTGCCTCTATCTTGCACATCAAAGAGAAATACTAAGCTCTGTTTACTTTTAAATGCCGAAAAATTGAGGATTGATAACTTTCAGCAAAATGTAATTAAAGTGA